TCAGAAGTGGCCATATCATAAATATGTAAATGATGATGGATTTCCTGAGTTGCACAACCTTCTTTGTCCAGAAATTCAATGATGACTCTTTCTTTGAGCTTCAGATTCAGGTTCTGATCAGTCAATCGGAAAAAGAAAAGACTACATCAGTAGAGAAAGGTTCTCACTACTATATCATGCATTGATAGTCCAGTAGCTGTAGAAGAAAGAAAAGTTAGAGCGATGGAGGCATTACTTTTTGACCCACCCTCATATATAGTATTCTAAGCTCTCCATGGTTCAGGACTATACTGAAAACCCTGCCCAATTACTGTGATTTTATATTGTTTGGCGTGTTCATTTATATTGTTTTTGTATTTATTTTTATTTTCATTATATTTTGCTATTTGTATTTTATGTTGTATATCTGCTGTACTGTTGAGGAGAGGGTGGCGGGGCATAAATGGAGATTATTATTATTATTATTATTATTATTATTATTATTATTATTATTAAAACCATTTCCAGTCTTTTCACCATCAGGATGATTTCCTAATTTTCCGCCAAGAGTTCTTGGATTCTAATATAAGGATGGGTTTTGGAGCAAAAATATGCACTCCAGTGAGTTGGCATGGGCACCCTGTTAGTGCCAAGTGAGTTTGGTGATGAAAGGCATGAAGAAAGCAAAAAGAAAGGATTTTAAGAAGCAAAAAGAAATGCAGCCTTACAGGGACTCCTCCTCAAGCAGCCTTTAACTGGCTTAACCCACGGCAGGGTTGTCAGTTGTCAAGTGAAGCTATCCAGAAGCGGCTTGGCCTTGAGTGGCTTTATGGAGAGAGATCACCTTAAGGTCTCACTTAAAATGTCAGTCTTGGGGAGAGGGTCATATTTCTACCCAAATGACCCAGAGATGCCGGGGTTTCAAAGCCCCACAAAGTCCATTCTCACCACTTGGGGCTGAAGAGGTCCAAGTCCTAATAAACTACAGCCATTTGAGCCTGGCAGGAATAGGGGAAATGGAATAGGAAGGCCTCTGGGGTATGGCATTGTTCTGATAAGGAAGCTATACAATTGCATTTCAGGATAAAGATCCTTCCAAGACAAGTTCCAGGTTTTGGACACGTGCACACCTTGCATTTGATACAGCGCCAGCACATAGAGATCTCAGGTTAGGAAAGCAAATCAAAATAGCAACAAACAGGCTCATTCCGTCACAGGAGCAAAAAGCAATTGGAGAAGGTTTTGGCAAGTCCTTTGAAAATGACCTGAAACCAGATTAATTTGAAAACTGGATTCTCATCCATTCCTACGACAAGGTTGAGCATCCCTTATCCAGAAATACTTACTTCCTTAGGAGCTCCCTCGTAGCTCGAGGAAGTCTAGTGTCTTGGTGGTAAGTCCATAAGTGGCTGCAGAGGCCTATTCTTGATCTGCATGTTCTCCCAAAGTGAGATCATCAGTTTCCAGGTGGAAGACGGTCCCAGTCAGGGTTGGCTTGACGCACCTTTCTCTTGGCACATTTCCTCCTTTCACCCTCCATTTGTGCCTCTTCAAATTCTGCAGCATTGCTGGTCACAGCTGACCTCGAGTTAGAGCGCTCAAGGACCAGGGCTTCCCAGTTCTTGGGTCTATGCCTCAGTTTTTAAGGTTGGCTTTAAGCCCATCTTTCAATCTCTGTTCCTGTCCATTACATTGTATAACATTACATTGTATTGTCGAAGGCTTTCATGGCTGGAATCACTGGGTTGTTGTAGATTTTTCAGGCTATGTGGCAATATTCTAGAAACATTCTCTCCTGACATTTCGCCTGCATCTATGGCAAGCATCTTCAGAGGTTGTGAGGTTGGACCTACATATAGCCTGAAAAACTACAACTCAACATTACATTTCCCATCCTTGAGTTCGGAGTAGAGTAACTGCTTTGGGAGGTGGTGATTGGGCACTTGGATAACGTATCCAGAAATATTCTAAACTTGTCTATATGGGTGACTGAGAGAGTGACTCCTTTGTTTTGCGTACAAAATTGTTCAAATATTCTGCGCAAAATGAACTTCCGGCTACATGTTTATGAAGCTTAAGTAAATAATAATAATAATAATAATAATAATAATACTAATACTTTATTTATACTCTGCCACCACCTCCCTGAAGGGACTCGGGGCAGCTTACATGAGGCCAAGCCTGTCAAATACAAATACAACAGAACATCGACAAAAGAAGCAAGCAAATAAAACAATATAAATAATATAACTAAACATAAAGCAGTAACACATAAGAGATTTAAAAACACTAAGGCAGGGCCAGATGTAATAGATTAAAATTTTAAAACACTGGGTGTGTACAGAGTAGGGTATGTCTAGACATGGGGGTGTTAGAGAGTGATGTAGGGAGATCAATCCAATGGAAAGAGAAGGTGCTTCAGAGGACATATAGAAGGAAATTGGTCAGATCAGGCATTATTTCCTTTATTCAGGGAAGGCACACTGGAACAACCACGTTTTCAAGCTCCTCCTAAAGACTGCCAAAGTGGGGGCCTGTCCGATATCCCTAGGGAGTCAGCTCCAGAGCTGGGGGGCCACCACAGAGAAGGCCCTCTCCCCGTCCCTGCCAATCACGCCTGCAAAGGGGGCAGGAGCGAGAACAGGGCCTCCCCAGATGATCAAAGAGATTGTGTGGGTTCTTGTTTAGCGTTAAGTTCCCTTAAGATACATCCACGAATATTCCAACATCGGAGATCCAAAACACTTCTAGTCCCAAGCATTTTGGGGAAAGGGCTCCTTGGCTTGTACCAGCTTCTTTTGGCTTTACCCAAACCCACAGGACACAGAAAGTTATCCACTTGGAGGGCAAGAATCCTCTTTGGATTGAGACAATTTCAACTGGGTCTGTTTACTCTCCCACTCTGAAAAGGCTCACCAACGAGGAGAGTGTATTATTTTAATACCTCACCCGCTACCACTCTGAAAAGGCTCACCGAGGAGAGTGTATTATTTTAATACCTCACCCGCTACCATTTCTGAGCCACAAGCACATGGCGGATTCCCCTTGCCCTCCAGCAGAATCTGGGCCAGAATCTTTGTGAATTGTGGCTGCAAAGTTAATAGTTGTAAGTGGAGCGTTATGGCACCAAGGTGGTTAACCAAAGAATCTGGTGAAAGCATTCTCAATCGCTGCTGGCAGTATTTCACCCGTGTTGTTTCCAAAGAAGTTCCAGCTGGGCAAATCCTTATTATTGCAAAGTATCCATGTTTTGAGTAAGAATAGAGCCACTGCGTTCCGGCTGGTGGAGTTGCCATAATGCCAATACGACTCAAGTTTGCTGGCGTTATTTCTTTGTTTCTGGAGCAGGTTACCCTCTGCCAATGGAATTGGGCACCAAGTTCTTTGCCTCCGGCAGCAAGAGGCATTGGGGCGGTTTCTGCGCAGAGACGTGCCAAGGCCAAGCACTGGAGTGTTGCTCCTGGTGTCTTTTGCCCTGAGTCACGCTGACACTTTCAGCGGCCTTTGCAGGGCTCTGTGGTCTTCAAGGGAAGGTTGAATTACCATAAACCCAAACATGGCTTAAGAAAACAAGGGAGGGGCCAAGGAAATGCAGGCTGAAAGCAAGGGGACGGTGCCAGTGCCAATCCCCACCTTCGAGGGGACAGCCAGGCATCCCTTTCCAGGCATTGTTAGGAACTTGGCTTCTCCCAGCTCCGTCACAGGTTGGCACATCTCCACTTGGAGGGGAAACTGGGCAGAATGGGTGATGGTAGGTGGGTTTCTAAAGAGAGGCTACGAATACAAAAACCAATGTGGAATCATGTTCCTTGAAACATTCCCCTTTTAAAAAGGAATAATACAAGGCCAAGGAAAACCGCAGCCATAGGAGAGGCTGGCCTTTTCATGAAATGCCACTGCCTCAATGGGCAGGAAGGGAGGCCTACGGCCACTGCCCACTTCCTTGGCTCAACCCAACCAGACTCCATGACCCTTTTCCACTATGATATAATAATAGCAGCACTATTTATATTCTGCCCTTCTCCCCGAGGGAACTCAGAGCAGATTACAGCATGTAACACACAGGAAAACATTCAATATCTTGTTACACTGACATACAATGAAACACAAAGGCAAAGGCTTCTCCTTTCATTTCCGGCTCTGGAGGTGGTGCTCACCTCCAGCTCTGCAGGGGGTGCTCATCTCAATTTCCAAGCCAAGGAGGTTGTGCATAAACACCACCTGGCCATGTGGCCGGCATGACTGCATGGTGTCTTTTTTGCTTTCCTGCCAAGGCAGTACCTATTGTTCTACTCACATTTGCATGCTAGGTTGGCAGGAGCTAGGGCGGAAGCTCACCCCGTCCTGTGGATTCGAAATGCCAACCTTCAGGCCAGCAGTTCAGCAGCACAAGGATTTAACCCATAGGGCCACCATGGCCCCAGTGGTGCAATCCAACATGACTCCAACCCGAGACGTTTGAGCTTTGGAGACTTAGAAGTTAGGGATAATAGTCCAAAAGGGAACTTGTTTTGTTATGGCTGACATTAACCAAAATACTGGTTGTGTTTATTAAAAATGGGATTGGTTATAAACTAGCCTTATTGTCCTTTTCCATACAGTCCTTGGGAATGAGGATAATTGAGCAGGATTCCATTCCAGGAAGGTGCAGGCGGTCATCTCAGGATACAGATCTTGGGGGAGATCTTACCCTTGAACCCACCACCAACAGTAAAGGCCCACCTGGGGAGGATTCAGGACGGAGCCTTCTTGGTGGCCACTCCCAGCTTGCGAAATTCCCTTCCACATCTTTATTCACGAACACACAAAGACTATTCTATTCAAATGGGCATTGAATGATTCATTGGTTGCTGGGACTCAAGTTTGTAGTGTGTGTGCATATGGAAAATATAAAAAATATGGGAAATAGAGATAAAACTTGCTTAAATGTATTTTATTTCTTAATTGGAAGAGATCTGTAGTCCTCTCGCAGGGATGACGTTGGAACCACATTCACCTGTTTCCTTTCCTTCTCTTGAAAGATAACGCAGCTGAAGATCGAAAACAACCCATTTGCCAAGGGCTTCAGGGGAAGCGACGACAGCGACCTTCGTGTGGCGAGATTGCAGAGGTGAGGGGGAAAGAAACTCGGAGGCAGAACTATCAAGGGGTTCAAATAGGCAGACAAACCAAACTGAGGGAAACTTGTTTTCAAAGCATGACTTCAAATATGTAGTCATCTGTTCTCCACATTTGTGGGTTTGACTTCTGCAGAAATGATTATTTGCAGATTTGATTGAAATATGGTCCCTTTGAGCCCCCGGTGGCACAGCGGATTAAATTGCTGAGCTGCTAAACTGAAAGGTTGGCGGTTCAAATCCAAGGAGTGGGTGAGCTCCCGATGTTAGTCCCAGCTCCTGCCAACCTAGCATTTCAAAAGCATGCAAATGTAAGTAGATCAATAGGTATTGCTCCGGCGGGAATGTAACGCCGCTCCATGCAGTCATGCCAGTAGCCACATGACCTAGGAGGTGTCTATGGACAATGCCGGCTCTTCAGCTTAGAAATGGAGAGGAGCACCACTCCCCAGAGTCGGACACAACTAGACCTAATGTCAGAGGTCTATGGCCTCTTTAAGCATCTCTAGGTCCAACGGTGAAAATCCATGATCAACTTCCACCAGAGGTTGGCCATAGATTTGCACCGGAAGACCAAGAGATGCTGTACAAACATAGAAAAGAAAAAGGGAGCCAAAGCCAGACTAAAACACAGAAAGCCTACTACCAATCTTGGGTTTTTTTTTCAAAACCTCAAGTTCCTTCAACCCTGGATATCAAGAAATTGGGGGAACTTTGGGTCAGGAAAAGGAAGGCAATCACAGTTCTCTGCTCTTGCCCGCTTTGCTTCTTTCCCGCGCCCCTTGGCTGCCTTTTGGTTGGTTTTCATCTCTCTCTCAATTTTTTTGGTTACTTTTTGATCTCCCACAAACGGGGAAGGCCTTGCCGTGGGCAGTGCAGCATTTGGGAAGGCGCCCATGTGTGCTTGGCAGAAGCGAACTATAAATAAATGGAATGCATATTGCAGATGGGAAGCAGATACCAAGCGAGCGAGTGCTTTGCCCAAGGCCACCCACAGCTCTGTGGCAGAGGCGTGATCCCACATCTCCCAGGCTGAGCAGGAACTATCGCAAGCGCCTTGGCATGAAAGGTCCCGGGTTCAAGCCCCAGGAACCACTGCATTCATAGGGGGTTCGTTCTTGGGGCAGCTTGGCTTGACAGTAGAGAGAAGATTGCATTATAGTGACTACTGTTCTTTGCTGGACAAGGCTTCTGGAAGCTGAAATCCAAAGCACGTAGAAGGCCTCACACATCACCCTAATGCCAGTTACTCAACATAGGGCAGTACTGGTATGCGGCATGTACTAGCTTGTTCAGTAGACTATCCTCTACAGTTCCATTTTGGCGGGAAGCCTTAGCATTGAATAGCTGAGTTGTTAAAGTGCGAAAGTTGCTTAAGCCGCATTGACCGACTGTCTGCGCATGGTTCCATACTTCGCACTTTAACAACACAACCGTTCAATGCTAAGGCTTCCCACCAAAATGGAACTGTAGAGGAGAGTCTGCTGAACAAGCCAGTACCTGCCACATACCAGTACTGCCATCTGTTGAGGAGTTACAAAGGTGGAGGCATTACTTTTCATTCAACCTTTATCTATAGGGTGATTGGGCCTCAGCTTTTCATCCTTGGAGGCCTTCCTCCCACAACAGTCTGACCATAGTCTTGTCTGTTGCAGTGGAATGTGGGACTCAAGTTCAACTCCTGTCTTGGCCATTGGTTGGGTTTGAACAAGTCATATACTCTAATTCCCAGAAAACCCTGCAGAAATGGAAGGCACACAACAACAACAGCAGCAGCTTTGGTGGTGGACACCCCGGTGGCACAATGGGTTAAACCCTTGTGCCTGCAGGACCGCTGATCGAGAGGTCGGCGGTTCAGATCCGGGGAGTGGGGTGAGCTCCCATCTCAGCTCTAGCTTCCCATGCGGGGACATGAGTGAAGCCTCCCACAGGATGGTAAAATATCAAACACCCGGGCATTCTCTGGGCAACGTCTTTGCAGACAGCCAATTCTCTCCCAAGTTTCTCAAGTAAGACACACAAAAAAGTTGCTCAGAGTACATTGGGTGTTAGCCCTGTTGTGTTCCCAAATGCTGGAGCTCTCATGGGGAGCAGTGGGTGGCACTGGACAAGCTATTGGTCAGGACAGTCATTCCAAAACTCTTCACTAACCAAGTCCCACCAACTTTAGCTATGGTTTAGATAGGGCTGGCACACTCTGGAAGCTGTAGCCCAGAAAAACAACTTTTCTAAACTGTGTAGAAAGAGCTCACAATAGTGAAACCGCCATGCTGACGGTTCTAACTGGTGCCTGTCTTCTGTCACCCGCAGCAAAGAGTACCCTGTGATCTCCAAAAGCATCATGCGTCAGCGGCTGGTGTCCACCCACGGGCAGCTCTCTGGGAAGTCAGACGTCAGCTCCCTCCACGGCAGCCACCAGGGCCTCCAGCACTACCAGTACGAGAATGGTGCCCACATGCAGTTTGCCTCCTCGGACGGGCAGGACCTGCCCCTCAATACCTTCGCGGCACAAAGGGAGTCGGGGCTCTTCTATCACTGCCTCAAGCGGCGAGGTAAGGGAGGCTTGAAACAGTGGTTCCCAACCTGTGGTCCACAAGAACTAAAATATGGTCCGCAGCCTCATCGTTACTACACTGCTGCAACGAGAGCAACTGATCTCATGAAACCCTCTTACAGTGCCGAGGCTTGCTAAATATGGTTTTCTGTGGGTGAGCAGATGGCGACTCCTGGATGGCATATGTTTTGTATCAGAAGCTAGAGCTGATGTGGTCAATCCAATGGAGTTTTCTGAATCAGCACCCCAAATAACCAAACTGAATCTAAAGTTGACAAAAAAGAGTTTTGTAACCCTTTCGGTACTAATGTTGGAGAGTGGTCCCTGGTCAAAATGGTCCCTGGTCAAACAAGTGGTCTCTGGTCAAGAAAGTGGTCTCTGGTCAAGTGGTCCCGGGTCAAAGTGGTCCCTGGTCAAGTAAGTGGTCCCTGGTCAGAGTGGTCTCTGGTCAAGTAAGTGGTCCCTGGTCAAGTAAGTGGTTCCTAGTCAAGTGGTCCCTTGTCAAAGTGGTCCATGGTCAAGTAAGTGGTCCCTGGTCAAAAAAAGGTTGGAAATCACTGGCCTGGAACCAAAAGGCACGTGCCTGTGTTGAGAGACAGGAGACTGTCTGCAGGAAGAGGAGCTTTCCATCAGAGATGCACACTCATGGCTTTCCAGATGTGGCTGAATCTCAACTCCCATCCTCTCTTCCTTTTGTCTAAGTTGGAGTCGATGGGCGTTATGGTCCAGCCAGACTTGTGTGGGGAATGCATCACCCCTTCTTATCTTACACAATGCCACGATCTAATACTTGAGCCATAGCTATTTCTGTTGGAAAGCAACCTCATTGCTGTTATGTGCCATCAAGTTGTTTCCGGCTTATGGCAATGCAGATGAGATCCCACATCCTGAGGATTTCTTTTTGTCCAGATCCTGCCAAGAAAACTGAGGATAGCAAGCTCTCAGGGCAGGGCATGAAATTGAGCATTGCTTTACATTCTTTGAAGTCAAGGCAATCTCTTCCTTATCATGGAGCAAACATTTTGGTCCAGTGACCAGAGCCAGTTTGTATCTTCATCTTGTAAGATGCCGAGAGTTCTTTTTTGACATGAAATCCTGGCAAATGTAGAGGAATTTCATTTTTTTGGGGTGGGGGTAGGGAAGTGTTCATGATAAGTCACTTTAAAGCTCCTTGAACTTGTCAAAAGCAACACTACAAAAGCCCCGCGGCCTGCCTGTGAGTGAGATGAATGGAAAGCCCTCGCTAGATGTAAGGAAGCAGTAGCCCAAAGTCAGTTACACTCTCAACTGATAAAAAAGCTCCTCAAATTAAGATGGATTTGAATAGGAGGGACGGGCAATGCCATGCCTTTTTCCTACGGAGAGAGATCTTTCAGGGAGAGGAGAGGGAATGGAGACATGGCGTTGGTTCGTGGGAAGGCAATGACAATACTCTCGAGTCACTACACATTTACTAGTAGGTCAACAGAGGAATCTCTCAGTCCCAGAGGTTCAGAAAGACTAGTTACTAGAGGTATAAACAAAGCCACTTTAGGACTCACGCGACCTTTCCTTCTAGGTTTTGTTCCTGTTCTTTCCGGGGAAATCTCTGTACTGGAAGCTGGGAGAAAATATTCTGGGATAAACAAAACATGCCTGGACCTCCAAAATTAAATTCGAAAGAACAGGAACAAAATTGGGGATTTTCTAGTCTTTGTAGTTCATATGGATTCACTCTAATGCCTGTAAAGGTAAAGGTTTTCCCCTGACATTATGTCTGGTCATGTTTGAACCTGGGACTCTGGTGCTCATCTCCATTTCTAAGCTGAAGAACCGGCATTGTCCTTAGACACCTCCAAGGTCATGTGGCCACTGGCATAACTGCATGGAGAGATGTACCTATTGATCTACTCACAATTGCATGTTTTCGAATTGCTAGGTGGGCAGAAGCTGGGGCTAACAGTGGGAGCTCACCCTGCTCCCTGGATTTGAACCTGCGATCTTTCAACCAGCAAGCTCAGCAGCTCAGCGATTTAACTCACTGTGCCACCAGGCACTAGGCAAATCTATATAAATAAAAATGTAATGTTCGTTTGTGGGATTAACATAACTCAAAAACCACTAGACACAAAATTTGGAAACAATACATGTATCAGGCCAAGAAGTGGTCATCACTCATAAAAACACTGAAAAACACAGCAGAAGAGACTTAAAAAGCCAAAAAAGAAACCAAAATACATTACAACGCATGCGCAAAACCTCACATATACACGCATACACATATACACACCCGAGTCCCCTTGGGAAGACGGTGGTGGGGTATAAATAAATTATTATTATTATTATTATTATTATTATTATTATTATATACACACACAAAATATACATATACACAGACTGGGCCACAGCAACGCGTGGCAGGGGATGGCTAGTGAAAGATAAGATGTGTTTTAGCTGCCCAGAGTTTGCCACCATTTAGGAGAATGGAACCTCTTCCTTTGGGGGGGGGACGGGACGGACACTGAATCCTGATGGGAATTTTCACTGAGGTCAGAAAATGTTCCACAATTTACAGTGAAGGGACCCTGGTGGGCCATATTAGGAGAACCGAAGGTAGGGGAGCTAAGAAAGGCCTGGACTGTAATCTGGAGCCATCTGACATCTCCTTGCTTTGCTTTTCTGCAGAGGGTGCCCGCCACTTGGACCTCCCTTGCAAGCGCTCCTACCTGGACGCCTCTTCCTCCGTCGGAGAAGAGCACTATTTCCGGTCGCCGCCCCCCTACGACCAGCAAATGCTGAGCCCTCCTTACTGTGGCGACGTGACGCCCCGGGAAGCGTGCATGTACTCGAGCTCCGGTGCCGAAATCGCCGGTGTCTCCTCGGTGGAGGACCTGCCTCCCCCTCCCCCTCCTCCTCTGAGTTGCAATATGTGGACCTCGGTGGCCCCTTACACCAGCTACAGCGTTCAGACAATGGAAACGGTGCCCTACCAGCCCTTCCCGGCCCACTTCACCGCCACCACCATGATGCCGCGCCTCCCCACCATCGCRAACCAGRGCTCCCAGCCTCCGGGCAACAGCCCCTTCTCCGTCTACAACCAGCTCTCGCAGTCTCAGGCCCGGGAGAGGGTCCCTCCRTCGTCCTTCCCRAGGGAAAGGGTGCACCCCTCGGTTTGTGAGAGGAAGCCCCCCTCKCCCCACCTCAGCACGGCSAACGAGTTCCTCTACTCGCAGACCTTCTCGCTCTCCAGGGAGTCCTCCTTGCAGTACCATTCGGGAATGGGGACGGTGGACAACTGGACCGATGGATGACTCCATCAAGCGGGACTCTTTGCACCGGGACAGCGATGAGTCAGTGTTAATACCTGTGGGTAACTTGCACTTCCGGGACACCTACAGAAAACCGGCCTCCCCAGGGGTGTGTCTACAAAGAGCTGGTTTGTCCTTGGACCTCAACACCCGTCTCCATCGGGGAGGGAAGTGGGGGGACCTAGTGGGGTACAACGCAACTCTTGGCTTCATGGCCTGGATCCACCAGCTAGGGCCACCCCATCAAGTCTTTGCCCCAAAGAAAAGATAATGCATTCATGAAATACTCAGAAATCTAGAAGCCAAGCCAAACAACATAAACAGTTCACAAAATCCAGCTCAATTTTCAGCCATTTTTGCAGAGGCAGATAAAAAACAGAAGGAGAAATGGCTGAACCAAAGGCTGTTAGCAGTGGGCCAAAATGTTTCATTTGATGGAAGCTAGGTAGAACAGTGCAGTCTTCTATTGTTACTCTTTCTCTTGCACAATATCACAGTACGAGGGGAATGTCTGTCAATGCTCCTTCATTCCCTTCCAAAAGAGACCTGGGCTGGCATTAGGTAAAGGTTTCCCCTTGACATTAAGTCTAGTTGTGTCCAAATCTGTGCAGACGTGCACAGAGCCGGCATTGTCTGTAGACACCTCCAAGGTCATGTGGTTGGCATGACTACATGGAGCGCCATTCCCTTCCCACCAAAGCGGTACCTATTGATCTACTCACATGTTTTCGAACCTGTGTCAGCTCAGGTCCTCCCTCTTTAAAAATTTCAGCAGGGATCCCATCAGGTCCACTGGCTTTGTTATTTTTTTTTTGTTGTTGGCTGATGTCATTGCTGGCTTCTTCCAAACTGGGCAGTGTTGCAAGCTCATCCCTGGTTTGTTGTTGCGGGATTTGTGAGATCTATTCATACTTGCAAGTTTTTGAACTGCTAGGTTGGCAGAAGCTGGGGCTAACAATGGGAGTTCACCCCACTCCCTGGATTCAAACTGCTGACAAAGTTCAGCAGCTTAGTGGTTTAACCTGCTGCACCACCCCTTGCTGTGCCTTCAGTTGAAACATATAACCCTTCGAAAACAATCTTTCTTTCCCTGAGCACACTGTGGGAGAAAAGTAATACCTTTCACGGCCATTATTATTCATAGTTACCAGCATTTAAAAAAAGTTATTAATAACCAAGCTTTGCAGAAAGCTATCAACCACAAGGATAAATATCAAAGCAATCAAAGCAATTTCGGGGTCATTTACTATCGTCCTTGTTAGGATTCAAGGCAGCTTACCAAATTTAAAGGATTCCAAGACAACTAAAAACACAGAACGGGTTAAGGTTAAATTAGAATTAAGCCAATCACAACAAAGGGAAACTTTTTGTGTGTGTGTCAGGAGTGACTTAAGAAATTGCAAGTTGCTTCTGGTGTGAGAGAATTGGCCGTCTGCAAGGACCTTGCCCAGATGTTTTGTGGGAGGCCTCTCTCATGCCCCTGCATGGGCAGCTAGAGCTGACAGAGGGAGCTCATCTGCACTCTCCCCAAATTGTTTTACCATCCTTGTGGGAGACTTCTCTCATGTCCCAGCATGGGAAGCTGGAGCTGACAGAGGGAACTCATCTGCACTTTCCCTGGATTCAAACCTCCGACCTGTTGGTCTTTAGTCCTGCCGGCACAACCTGTTTCGCCACTGAGGAAACATTGGGTTGCTGTGAGTGTTCTGGGCTGCCTGGCCATGTTTCAGAAGCATTCTCTCCTGATTTTTCTCCCACATCTAGGTTGTGAGGTTTGAAACCTTCCCTTTCAAAGCTCTTCACAGGTATTCCTCAGTCTCGTACACACACATTTCCAAATTTCTGGGATCAAATGGGAGCCCGTTGTCTGATGGGTCCAAGCCAAGGAGCAAGGTGCCAAAGGGGAAGGATTCTCTACTCAAATAAATGAGGGGAAAAGGAATACAATGATCCGGGCCACTAAAAGAAAGTTATTTTTCACCCAGAACCACCCTACCTTTGTTCAAGCTGGCCTGTGTGTGTAGGTTTTTAATAACCCAAATGGGAACTCACAAGTGTTTGCATGCTGAATCATTATTTATATCTTATCTATATATCGATATATAAAAGTATCTCTCTGTCTTTCACCAATGCAGGCCCCCCACACGTTCCGTTCCGCTTTGCTTTCCCAAAATGAGATATGAATGTTGCAAGGGACTTTGATAAAAAAAAGACAACTATTTAAGACGTTTGTTTTTCAAAGGACCCCCCGTCGGGATGTAAAAAACGTAAAGATTTGGTTAGATGAGTCATATATATATGTTACAGATAAATCTCTATTAGAATCCACGTTAGGTTAAAGCCAGCCTGGCCATTGTTGGTTTGTGTAAAGCTTTGTTAACAATACTATGGACATTTTATTTTACATATCTATCTATCGATATTATAAAAGTGAAAACACATTTGTATGTATGTATATATGTACGTATGATCTGGGATGACTCCGACATGGCTTGATGGAGCTGGACCAAACCTGGGAAACAGACCCATTCTGACTCAAAATATTGGTGGGGTTTGGGGCAGATTAACAGAGGATGATAGGAATTGTAGTTTACTCACATGCAGAGAGGTATAGATATATGGCTGTCTTGGTGTAGTAATAGTAATACACTTTGTCTATATTCCGCTCTTCTTCAGAGTGGATTACAGCATTTACACACATAGGCAAACAACCAATGCCTTTACAATCATAGACAATGAGACGAACAAACACAAACAAAGGCAGAGGCTTCTCCTTTCATTTCCGGCTTCTGTACGTGTGTACCTGGGTGTATCCACCCACAACCTAGGGCTAGTGGGAATTCAACACTAAACCTATCTGGGTCCTTATGGAGACGGCACCCACCAGATCTTGGGGTCATGGGAGTTCCTGCTGGCCAGATGATGATGATAATAATAATAATAATAATAATAATAATAATAATAATAATACACTTTATTTATATTCTGCCTTTCTCTTCAAGGGGACTCAAGAGTGGATTACAGCATTTACAGCAGATATAGGCAAACATTCAATGCCTTACAGTCACATACTTTTTTTTTCCGTGTCAGGAGCGACTTGAGAAGCTGCAAGTTGCTTCTGGTGTGAGAGAATTGGCAGTCTGCAAGGACATTGCCCAGGGGACACCCAGATATTTTTCCCATTCTGTGGGAAGCTTCTCTCATGTTGACAAGCTGGAAAGTATTGTCGAAGGCTTTCATGGCCGGAATCACTGGGTTGTTGTAGGTTTTTTCGGGCCATGTTCTAGAGGCATTCTCTCCTGACGTTTCGCCTGCATCTATGGCAAGCATCCTCAGAGGTAGTTAGGTCTGTTGGAACCAGGAAAATGGGTTTATATATCTGTGGAAAGACCAAGGTGGGACAAAGGACTCTTGTCTGCTGGAGCTAGGTGTGAATATGGCCATATAGCCCGAAAAAACCTACAACAACCAAGCTGGAAAGTGTCCAGAAGAGGGCGATTAAAATGATCAAAGGTCTGGAGAACAAGCCCTATGAGAAGTGGCTTAAAGAGCTGGGCATGTTTAGCCTGAAGAAGAGAGGACTGAGAGGAGATATGATAGCCATGTATAAGGATGTGAGAGGAAGCCCTAGGGAGGAGGGAGCAAGCTTGTTTTCTGCTGCCCTGGAGACTTGGACGCAAGGGAGCAATGGCTTCAAACTTCAGGAAAGGAGATTCCATCTGAACATTAGGACTGTGAGAGAGAGCTGTTCAACAGTGGAACTCTCTCTCCCAGAGTGTGGTGGAGGCTCCTTCTTTGGAGCCTTTGAAACAGAGGCTGGATGGCCATTTGTCAGGAGTGTTTTGAATGCAATTTTCCTGCTTCTTGGCAGGGGGCTGGACTGGATGGTCCAACTCTACAATTCTGTGATTCTATGATTCTGAATGAGAAGCTGGAGCTGGAAGGTGGGAGCTAACCCCGCTCCCCAGATTCAAACTGCTGACCTTTTGGTCAGCTATCCTGCTGGCACAGTATCTATTGATCTGGTCCAACTTTATAATTCTGTGATTCTATGATTCTGCATGAGAAGCTGGAGCTGGCAGGTGGGAGCTCACCCTCCTCCCCAGATTCAATTACGTGTTTCTGAACTGCTAGGTTGGCAGAAGCTGGGGCTAACTATAGGAGCTCACCCCGTCCTGTGGATTCGAACCACCAACAAGTTCTGCAGCTTAGCGGTTTAACCCGCTGCACCACCGCGGCCCCTATTCTTTTCATATATACACATAGACATATACACACACCTCTCAAGGCCTTGGGGAGAGTGTAGATCCCACAGGCCTTCTTCTCAGATCTTGACAAGCTTGAGACCTTGAGTTTGGGAGTTGCAGTCCACCTACATCCACAGAGTAACATGGGATTTCTATTTGCGACGCTGGCCTTTTCCTCCTGGGTACGTTCCCCCCACGCAAGCCCCTCATTTCCTTTGGTGTTTCTACCCATGTTGGATTTGGCCCACTCTGGGCGTAGAACAAATATTATAGCAGATTGCGAGGGATTTGTACGTCATGCTAAAATATGCCAGAAATTAAAGGAGCTAAACTTAATCCACGGGTGAAGAAAAAAAAGATGGGGAAAGGAGAGGGATTTGCTAGCATTGGCAACCTCTGTGTTCGGAAAACGCCAACATCTGGAGCACCAAAAAAAAAAGACTTACTTTTTGGCAGGAATGTTTTCTTATGAAGGAGGAAAGGGTCTCTGTCTCCATTCTGGAAAATATGGGCCGCTCCACATTACTTTTATGATGTCATTAAATAATTCTTATTGTAGCGTGGAGAAAAAGAATGCCTCCTTTGAAGGGGAACGCTCCCCCAGGACAGCCGGAGGGAGCAACACGCCAAAAGTGTAATCCCCCTCCAGCCAATCAGGATTCCCCCCACATTTCTGCCCAGAATGTGGAAAAGTTGCTTTGCGGACTACAATTCCCAGCATTCCCTAGGCCAGTGTTTCTCAACCTTTCGAATGCCCCAACCCATTTATACATGTTGTGACTCAATACGCCCAAATTTGAATACTGTTGGGTTTGGGATTTATTTTGTCATTTGGAAGTTGTAGTCGCTGGGATTTCTAGTTCACCCACAATCAAAAAGCATTCTGAACTCCACCAACAATGGAATTGAACCAAACTTGGCACACAGAACTCCCATGAATAACAATACTGGAAGGGTTTGGTGGGCATTGACCTTGAATTTTGGAGTTGTAGTTCA